TGTGCTGCCAACAAATTAGTTCTAATTTAAAACTTTAAAATGAAAAGAGGAATTATAACCACCAAAAGGAAGGAATTCTATTAGTCAGTTTTTTAAAAAATGACTTTTATGTGAATGTAAAATATAGCATCCTTGGTTTAGAACCAGTGACAAAGTCATTTTGAAAAAAGGAACTCATTCCAATTAAACAGAAGCCTGCCCACTCATTCCATGTGATCTTATGGGAATAGACGCACTGAATACTTAGAGCAAATACAGCCCCAGCACAACAGAAGTAATTTATCTTTCCTTTTTATCTTTAGTTTTATAGATTCAAACCATGAGCAAAAAAATGATTCAAAATAACACAATAAAAATTTTCAAAACGAATTTGTTGTGACTGTTAGGAATACCAAGCTCTGCCTTGGAAACACTCGGGTTTTTGTTTTAGTTTCTGGTAATAAACATGCTGATTATAAATCTATACTATTTGCTGTACAAAAATAGAGAGAGAGAAGTATCTTCCAGTAAATGATAATAATTCATTGACTATGAGGGCAAGTTCCATGCAAGGCATGCAGTGGGCTGGTACTCACATCAGGTCAGGTGTGCAAGGAGACTCAAGCATGCCCATCACCCTTTCGCTTGATATCCTTAGAATGCCCCCATTTTATGATGCAATTTTAATAGAATTAAAATTAAAAACTTCCAGTGACAAAAATAATTATATTTGTCATCAATTTTGATGATTACCTGACCCAAGTACTGGGTATAAGGGATTCCATCCCACCACTTTAATCATAAGCCAGTGGGTGAGCCTCCTCAACTCACAGAAAATTGTGTGAGCACTTACAACTTACAGGTGTGTTCTTGCTATGCCCTGCAATGTATACATGTATGTGACACTGACCTTGTCAGGGACAATGAAGATTACTGAAATAAAACTATAGGAAGAAATTAACTCAAAGAACAAACAAACAAAAATCTTTGATAAAAATTTCTTTTCCTTAGCTCTGTATGGCTTTATGCTTTATAAAAATAAGGCTAATCTGTAAACGCCCTGCGCTGTATGCACGCCAAGTAGTCACCGTTTGGAATAATATTTAAATTCAGCACAGACTCTCCTGCCATCCTTACAGTGAACCTGAAACACTAAAGAGCATCAGATTCATTTGGAGAATTAAAATGTAATCACATTCCCTTACATCTAGTGTTAAATTCTAAAGGCAGGAAACTTACACTGTGTCAACTTTGTGGTGCATTAGTACTATCATTATTTTCATAATTATCTATTCATTTACCTCTAAACTATAACACATTCCTTCATTCTGGAATTATTATTTTTATCTATATATCATGGGAGCCACTATTAGTAAGATTTAGACCAAAAAAATGTTTTTTTTTAATATTTTAAATATAAATCATAAATATAAACCAATAGAAATCAAATACTGCAGGGAAATAACTAAAAAGGTTGACCATGATTATTTCTGAAATTGTGTTTTTCCTTTATGCTTTACTGTATTTTCTATATTTTCTAGAATAAAAATTCCTGTACCTCATCACTGAAAACATCAACATTATTAATTTTTAAGAGGCTTGGATAAACAGGATATGAATGTCAACGCTTTTAAAATATCATGAAAGACAATGTGCTCCTTAGCGATGTTAAATGTAGGGGTCCGTTCAGAACATGTATGAATTCAGATGCAAGGACTTTCTGGCACTACACAGCCCAAATCGCCCAAACAAAGGCTTTTCTTTTGCAGCACAATGAAGTTCTTTTGGCAAAGCGCCAAAGAATCTTGAACTGAATTCAATTTCAGAAAGATAAAGTGTCGCTGGTATAAAATGAAACCATCTAATAAACAATTTTACAATGCCTAGTGCTAATATGAAAAAAAAAGACCTCTCATTGTATTTTTTTTCTAATCATATATTTAAACCATTACATATTTCTAGAATATACACCTGCTATCTAAACTTCTTTTGCTAGGTCAAGCCTACCCAAACAGGAATCTGAGGGCTGGCTTATTTTTAAAGTTTTATAATTGGCTCATACTCCCTCCCAAACATTCTGAGCCTAGTCCAACCAAGTTTTCTAGGTAAAATTCCTATTCTTACTAAGTGACATCTGCCAATATCATATGCCAAATCCCATAGATATCCACAGAGCTCCCTACCGCTGCATGCTTACTGGGTGCCTGCTACTGTGATGATCACTTATTATGGATTATTTCATTTAATCCTCACAACAGCTGAAAAGCATAGAAATAATTATATCAATTTTAAAGATGAGAACATTAGACTTTGAAATGGGTTCAAGGTCACGCAGTTAAGCAAGTCCAGTCTATTCTTTCTTTTAATTATCGAGTGCCTACAATGTACTATGCACTGTACTAGAATAGAAAATACAGCCCATGTCCTAGGATTGCTTACCTGAAATTCAAATATAACTGCATATCCTGGACTTTTATGTGTTAAGTCTGGAGATCCTATTGCTCCTGGTTGCCATACTGTGTGCTAGGTTGACTCATCCCTACCAGTGTGGCTGGGCTAGGACTGTGGAGAGATGAGGTAGATAAAGATTTCCAGGTACACTGGGATGGAAACCTCCAGGGCCACTAGGATGAAGACCTTCAGGGATGGGTGTCCCCTGGGAACAATCCCCAGCCATCTCTCCAGCCAAGGCAGACCATGAGATGTCTGTTCTAAGCCCCATTTTGCTCAATGGCTTTTCACATTCATTAGGAGACTGTGTGTCATTGATCAAATACCAACCACAAGCAGAGTATATGCACATGTGGTGCTGCTTGTTCAACCTCCAGAAATGAAATGATAGTCATTTTAGTCAAACTCACAAGAAAATCTTTTCCAAAATTCATTAAAATTCCATAAAGGATTTTGACCCACCTATACCAGTTGAGGTCATATTTGCACCTGTTATCCCGGCAGGGGACCTCCCCTCACCAACACCCCATTCCCACTAAGGGAAAGAGTCCACCTTCCATAAAGGTTAACTTAGATGTTTATAGTGGCAACTCCCTTATGTCCTTGCCCAATTGTAGGTATCTGGAATCAATCAATTACATTTTCTAATTCCTTTCCCTTAAGTTTCCTGCAGATGCAGAGGGGCACATATACAAATCAAATCCTGGAAATATATATATTGAAACAAAAAACATTTCTGAGCTTTTACCAGGAGGAAGAACTGCTATATTCTAGAGAACAAAGACAAGAGAGAGATATCCTCTCTACCATTTAGTAAGTCACTATCTGATAATGGGGGTACACTGGATAAGAAGTAATGCATTAAGCGCACTGATGAAGGTGGATGACAGGTATTGTATAACAGGAATTCTAAAAGGACAACAGAGAGCAAGGAACAGAACAGCTCCAGCTGCATGAGGAGCCTTGAGCCAGATCCTTGTTACAAGTACAAGTTCACCTAGTAGATAATTTGGGGTGGGTTGGGTAGATAGCTAATATTCCATAAAAGTAAGCAAATCCCAGAGGCAAGAAAGAGAAGTGTTTACTTTGTGGGTAACATAAATAATTCCACATGCCTGCACTATATAAGAATGAAAAAAGGTGAGTCTGTAAGAGATGTGGGACCACAAGACAGAGGGTCTGGAGGACCCACCAAAGAGCCAGTGTTATCCAATGGGATATACTATAAGCAGATATTTAAAAAGATGGCATTGGCAATGGTATGTGGAATGAAGAGAAAAATCTTGGGCCAACAGGCCAGGTAAAAATCTTTGCAATAAACAGCCCAGGCTCCAGGGATGGATTTTCATGGAACTTAGCATCAGAAATCCACCAAGTATTCTCAATGGGCTAAAGTAGGCAAAAACACACCAAGTGAGCCTATCCAGTCCACACTCATTGTCTACACACAGATATCAAAAGAGATTCAGGTGGCATGTTCAGTGCCAGGAAAAAAAAACAACTTCTGTCTATTCATTTAAAGTTAAGAGCATACATCTTAATGTCTTCAAGTGTTCGGTGGATGTACAAGGGCTCCTTAAAATCTGATGGCAAAAGCAATAATCCTAGAAAACGTTCAATGTTTGTCTAGAGTGCCCAGAACCTAACCCAGATTTAGATTCATTCAGGTCTGTGTGGAAACTGAACAACCTCTCTTGCTATAAAAATATGTTTCATAATCTAGTAAATTTTGGCAAAAGAGATGTGAGCATTCCACTGTCCAAAGTACTTTGCTTGGTGCCTGAAGAGTCCAAATCTACAAATTGCCTCTTTCTTCAAGTTCAATGTCATTTTCCCTAAGAGATGGATGTAAAGCAGTTTTTTTTATACATCATCCTCAAAATACATGGGCAGTACAGATAATCTGAATGCAGGGATTATGCACATTTTCTAAGGAAGTCATGGTAAGTATGAGGGAAAAGCAAGATTTGGCCTCACTAACAAACTGGAATGTCAAATGTTGACCTGGATGCAGAAACTTGTGAACCTTAATCGATATAAATAGCAACAAGTTCCTTGAATTCTCAGTTGGCTGGTAAATGGCCTAAACAAGGTCACAAAGAAAGGTAACAAGGGCCAGAATGGATATAATTTTACTGAGGAATCTAGTAAGAAGTTGAGAACATGGTTTCTGAAGTCTAATTGCTTGGGTCTGAAACCTGGGTCCATCTTTTATTAGACATAATAAACATGCCCAGGGGCAAGGTATTTATTCACTTCATGCCTCAATTTCCCTATCTCTAAAATAGGGATGTTGATAATACCTACCTCTCAGGATTCACAGGAGGGAAAAGGGAATGAATTCATGTTAGAACAGTTCATGGCACATGGGGAGGGCCCAATAAACAGTTGCTGTAAAAAGCAGTGGTGATCCTGCTATTAGGAGTGTACTTGATGACACACTGGATTTTCTACTTAGAAGAATCATTACTCAGCACTGGTCAACTGTGGCAGAGCAGCTCATGTGTAACTGCACAGATGTAAAATGAAGTCCGAAAATATCTGTGGTGGCAAAACGTAAGATCTCTCACCTTGCTCCTACAACAAGTTCTTTCTGTCCTGGGTCAAATGTTAACTGCGAGAAATCCACAGCATTCTTCGCTCTGAACTCCCGTAACCAGGGGCCAATTTCTAAACAGGAAAAATAAATAAATGAAAAGATAAAAATGAATGATTTTTCTTTTGGGGACCACAGAGAGTGCACGTCAGGTAGCAAACATTACATTTCAGAGAGGATGTAAAGGTCCCCCAATGTGACTGTTGAGGGACCACTGGAGGTTTCCATCCGATGTCACATAATCCACGCTGAGAATGTGTAAAGCACAAGACAGTCACCCAATAAAGAGGGAGCAGGGTACAGATGCTTGGTTGTGATTTACAAGCCAGATGTGTATTTCCCCATAGGCTCTGGGCAGGGCAGAAAATAACACAGCATTCACAGAAAAGGCCATTTCCTCTGCAACCTGACAGGAAAGCGCTGAAGACGGAAAAATCACAAAAGCCCTCATAGGAACACCATTTGCCTTCATTCAAAGTGGACATTCCATATCCCTTCTTTGAGTTTCTATTTTGGCCCCATGATTAGACTCGTCCATCCTAGATGAGAGATCCACAGTTACTTCTCGGCCTCATTTGCGTTTTTCTTTTGAGGGAAATAAGGAAACAGCCACTATTTAGAGACAGGGTTTGGTTTTTTCATTTCTTTTTTATAAGCACTCTTAAATCCTATTAAGTGGCTTCCAGCCTAGAGTCCTATTCTTATAAAATGATAGTATTTGAAGACAGTTATAATGGTGCTTCATGAGCCATTTTTGTAAATTTCATTAGCTCCTTTCTGACCCTGAAAAATATTCAGTGACTCATCTTGCCATTTGTGTCAAACCTCATCATCAGCCTTGACAATTAACCGTATTACCTGATTGTCTCTTTTTGTTGGATTAAACATTTTGAGTGATACCTCATTGACTAAACAAACACATAACAATTGTCAAATCAACAAAATTATTGATTCAAGGAAAAAATGTGCAGTACAGGAAAAATCACTTCCAGCAAAAGCAGATGCTAAAAAGAGATCTAATGTAGAAATACACCCAAGTCCCATAGCATGCACTGTAAAAATGCCTTTGTTTATGCAAATAAGATAGATGATTTTCAAGGGATAGTTTTGTTTAAGAAATATGGCATTTTTCTACATTGGTGACTGAGGATAAAATGACATGAACCGAAAGTTCTATTCTGCTTAAAGGGAACCTAGGTTGAGTTATGTAGAGAGTGGTATTTGGTTTTTGAAGTTTTCATGGGTATGGCATCTTGATTTTTTTCTTTAGTACTTTATATAAATGTCTTCATCTTACAGGCAAGTCAATTGAAAAAAGTATTTATAGCAAAGTATATAAAGGGCACTAGAGGTATAAAAAGTTATTAATAAATGATCCTTCCAGGAATTTATTAATTCAGTTAGGGAACTAGCCCTAATATTTTCTTTAAACCCAGTATCTATAAATACAGGTGTTTATATGAGTACATGAAGTATTCATATATACAAAGGAAAGATGCTTAGGTAAAACAAGAGAAAAGATTTGCGTTCTCATTTCCTGTGCATTTATATTTCTTTTCATTTAAAAGAACAGAAAGAAAGTGACCAATAAAAACCAGGAGGAACCCACATATTTCATGTTTTAAATCCTATACAGAGCAATGGTTACACTACTTCCTAAAATAATAAAAGGAGTCATGTGGAGAGGGGAAAATGAGTTAACAGCACATAGTTCTGTCAATATTGTCCAATTTTCCTTACTTAAATTGCTAACTAGCTTCCCCATTAAAACTACACATTTTTACGGTTAACCCTAGATCCAAGTTGGACAATCAGCACATTTTCTCCTTTTTTGATCTTCATGTGCACTCACTCCTCCACAAGGTCTACCTCGCTCACCTCTGCACATCACAGGGTCTTTTGTCTTATTGGATCCCAGGAGGGCCTGGGGACAAAGTTCCTGTACGAACCCATCTGTCTAACTGAAAATATACCTAAATCAATACCTGTCATCTCAACTTTCCCTCAAAGATCAGAATCATTGTACTCTATCCTCTTCCTGAAAAACAGTCCCTGCGACTTGGTTTCAATCTCATCTCTTCCCTCATCTTTAATCCTTTCCCTGAATTACCTCTTTTGTCCTCTAATTAATCTCCAATGTTACAAAGTCTCTTCCCATCTGTAAATAAGTATATACACAGTTCCCTCATTAAAAAAATTTTTTTTAAGTACTTTTTCATTATAGTCTTCAAACACCCAAACAAAATACCTAATAATCCCCATCCACGGAAAGGACTGCAGGCTGTTTTACACTTAAGTTTTATCAACTCCTTAGGAAATACATAAGTCCAATTTTATATAAGTTATTTCAGTAATTAGACAAAGAAGTAAAGCTTCTCTTCTTTCAGCAATCTTGAGGCTATTATGATCTTGATAATCTTGATATTAAGGCTAGACGAGGAAATTATAAGGAAGAAAATTTATGGGCCATCTCATTTAAGAACACAGCTGAAACACTCTTAAGGATAGCTGTGTTAACATCACACACACACACACACACACACACAGAGGCTAGATTTAATTCAGAAAAACAAGGATGGCTCAGAAAAGCATAACATCAGAAAATCTATCGGTAGAATTCACCACCACAATAACAGAGTTCAATAGTGTCATGAAGATTTATTGAACCTGCTTTCTAAGGAATTGGAAAAATGAACAGTTATGGGCTCATAAGAAGAGCTACAAGAATACAGAGTCAGGAGATGAGAGGACAGGGCAGGTGGTGGTGAATAAGCTCATCAGAGGCCAAAGAAAAATGAGGATGAGTGAGGCAATCAGGGGAGGACACAGCATGAGATGAGTTAGGGATAAATAATTTTCAATAACATTGACTTTCTTTTTTTAATTTTTTTCCTATATTTGATTTTAGAGAGAGAGGAAGGGAGAGGGAGAGATAGAAACATCAATTAAAGAGAATATCAATTGGCTTCCTCCTACATACCCCCAAGGGGGATCAGGCCCACAACCTGGGCATGTGCCCTGACTGGCAATCTAACCAGCGCCTCATGGTGCATGGGTCTACACTCAAGCACTGAGCCACACCAGCCGGACAAACATTGACTTTCTTAATACATGCTCACTTCCCCAAAATAATGGATTCACTATTTCCTTCCAACCCTCTCTCTGATCTTACTGAAAAAAACCAAATGATGAAATGGAACTTAAATATAGGAGCCAAAATGACCATTGTGTGCAAATTAAATAGTAACATAAAACCTAGAAATTTGAATTGAATACTCTGTAGATAATTTTAAATATTTGATAATAATCACACTATCTAATCCATTCATTGCACAAACATGATTGTTGAAACATGGGCTCCGGCAGCCCTGGCCAGTGTGGCTCAGTTGGTTGAATGTCATCTTTCCCAAAAATGGATGAATGTTTCTCTCTCTCTCTCCCTTTCCCTTCCTCCCGCTCTCTCTCTTTAAAAAAAAAAAATCAATAAAAACATATTTAGAAAGAAAAAAATATGCCTTCTGGCAAAGATTTTCTATTGCAAAATTAGCTGCAATGATTCGTAGTGCCTTCTCTTACTACTATATAAGCACTGACATAATTGCTTTGTAAAGTCTATCACAAGTGTACTGATTCAATTTTTCAAAGAACCCAGTGTCACTGCTTCACAAAAAAATTACTTTTATAAATATATATCCAGTATTAATAAATGTGGTCCAAGTAACTGGTATATTCAAACTATAGACTAGCATAACAGATTCAAATTAGCCAACTCCCCAAACCAAAAAAAGGACAAGAAAGTAGTAAAAGTTGCTATTTAAAAAAATAATTAAACACTCCACAAATATCCAAGGTATGATGGTTATAAGCCAAGAAAACCTTTTAGAGGCTGCTAAGTAAGGATCACAGGAAATTGCGCTGATGAAGAACAGCACCTGTCCAAAACCTGACAGTCGTTCTCCAAACCAGATGGATGGCGTCTGCAGAGGCTGGACGTCAGGCACTGATCACCTGAGACCGAGCTGACTTGCGGGCAAACACTGAGCAGGAAACCTCTCTGGTGGAATAAGGGTGACAGAGCAGCCTGAGATTCTTTCTTTTCTCCTTCAAACTTCTGTCAATTGCATCAAGAATGTAGGGTGGCAACACTTCCTTGGGAAACTTGAAACCTATATTGGAAACTGAGTCACAAGGCACCAGGGGATGGTGGAGAAAGCCACAGAAGCTCAGGTAGCAACAAAATATAAAAAAAAATATGAGTGCAAATCAAGGCTTACTCTTTCCAATTATCATGAAATTATATTTTGATTTAATCTACATCTAACACTGCACAGAGATAATGATAAAGCTGACAACATGACTACTGGTAAAGCAGCTAACAAACATAGCTAACACTTAAACAGGGTATGCCTCTGCTAGATGCTCGCCTATGTATTTGACAAATTTTAATTCCTGTATTTCTCACACCCTATTACAGGTGAGTAAACCAAGTCCTGCTGACCTCAACAGCTAGTAAGATTCAGCTCTTAATTTTGGCAACTATGATGCGCAACTATTAAACTGCATTAAATCAAAAATGTACCTTCCTGTGGGACACATTTTAAAAGTAACAGGAAAAAAGAATACCAACAACCTCTTCATTTGGAAAGTGAGTTTATTCACACTAATATGTACTGTTAAACAAAAATTTCCACCCTCTGGGTTTTGAACTAAGAACTAGAGAAAAGTAAGATGCAGTAGCAGAAGGTAGGGTCTCCAAAAGCCAGCTACTATGTCAACCTGTAAATGCAATGTTTATTGTTTTTACTATTGTTATTATTAATAGCCATAGTCTACAAGTCAGTTAAGCTCTACAAGAAAAAACATTCAAGATTTTCTAAATGGTGGCGGAGTGAATGGAAGCTACACAGACCATCTCCCAGGACCAAACAGAAATTACAACTGAAATAAAAACAAATTGTCAGGAAAAAGCAACAGAAAAGCAGCTGGAGAGGACCACATAACCAGGGACAGGAAAAAAGACACTGATTAGAGCCTGGTAGGTCTGTGGAGGTGCAAGAGGGCAGTTTAGGATCCC